TACTACTACTACTACTACTACTACTACTACTACTACTAATACTACTACTACTACTACCTATCAGTTAGAAAAGAAGGTAAAATATAGCTTCTTTATGCTGATGATGGCTCACTTTGTCTGTGTTTTGTGATTTTCGAAAGATAAAATTCGTCAAACCAAATATATATTATACTCGTTGTTACCCTTTTTCCTCAATGTGAGCGTTGATGCCCAGATTACTTGGAACTCTTCCCATTTGCTTTAGTGGTATGTGTTTTCAACTTCTCAACTTGATAAGTTGGAAATTACGCTTGTAATGAAAGATCTGAAAATGTGGTAACGAAATGAAATTACTATCATTGTTGTTAATGTGCATAAAGCTCACCTAATATACGGCAAAACTGCAGGTCTCAGAATACTGACATGCCTCTATACCTTTCAAGCTGTAAAGACTAGATGTGTCACTATCCATAATGAGAATAGTGGATATCTGTGAGCATTTAGTTCCTTTAAAAATCGAGTACTTTTTTTTTGTGAATTTGAATGTAGAAATACTTTTTCAAAGGTAACAAGTTGAGAGTATCCAAAAAAATTTCAGTCCAGTTTGGTCATACAGTTGAATTCTTTTATTTTTTAATAAGTTATATTTAAGAAATAACTACGAAATGATTTAGCCAGGTCATATAAGTGGTCGTATCGCATCACTCCATATGACAGCATATTGCTTCGATGTACTGTATGCCGCGCTGCGCAATCATCAAGCTCCTAAAATACCTCCAACAATTCCAAACGAAAAATAGTATGTTTTTTTTGTACCAAATTTTCAGAGCTTAAATTTCTTGAACATAATTTTTTTTAGGATTTTGAAAAAATCAATAATATTTGATGAAAATATTTTGAAAAAATATCGTCTATAATCTCATTCAATTTGAATTCTAGTCCTCTGTTTGTAACTTGGAAGAAGGGATACGATCGTCGTTTACGTGGTTGCATTGGAACGTTCACTAACCTTGTGTTGCATAAAAGCCTACATGAATATGCTATTATAAGGTCTCATTTATTTTCATATTCTTCTCAAATTTTATTATGGTCATTATAAAATAATATAAATTATGGAAATAGTGGTGAGCATCCTCTCTGTTATATGCTCCACTATCAAAAGAAATGTTCAAAAAATAGATTACGCTATTACTTAAAGTATGAAATGCAGTCTATTTAAAATATTGTATGCTTAGCACTCAAATGAACTACAGAAATGATGTCATGATGATGCATTATTTTTGCATTAAGTCAGTGAGGTTTAATTTCTAAACATCTATTTATACTTTCAGTTTCTATCTTTTGAACGATTCTTACTAGATGATGCATAATATTTCTGAATCACGAAATATTGACTGTCTTCCATCTATATAAAGTAAGGATTGGTACTTAGTGAATGGATACATTTCATATGTTTGCGTTATAATAATTCATTTAATGAAATGAATGAATATGGTTACAGTCTTTGATAGTTATACAATAAATCACCATTTCATATCGAAAAGATCCAAATAGGCAGATGTGATAGATTTCATTTAATGCTTACACATTTTATAGCTGTTACGCTCTGAACAGTCCATAAAATGTTTTATTTGCATTTGCAAGTATTTTTTTATGTGACAATATTGTGAAGTTTTATAGCACTTTTGTAAACGAAAACGTGTCGAGATCCAAGTTTTATCAAGCTAAATCCATTTTTGCTTAGACCCCAATAAACGAATCACATTTATTGTTTCCTTGTTCAATTCCAAGTGAGAACGTGTTATTAGTGTGCGTTACGCTATTCATTTATGTATTTTTTTTATCAAAATTTTTTTTTTTATCGGAAATGATGTTTTTACCATTCTTGGATTTGTTTTTTTTCTTCTTTGGAAACATCGATCCAGAAAGATTTGAACAGTTAGTAAAGGAGACAGATGTCTTGATAACGCATTGTAACTTTTACCACGCTATCTTTTGTCTTTCTGAGCGAATGCACTTTGGATTAGCACATAAAGCTATGAGAAGCATAATTTTCAAAATTAAAAAAGAAATATTTGTTCAACGTTCTATTGATTTCTTAAGATTAAGATGAACAAATATATTGGTAGATATTATGTAATATTTAAAACTGTACAATTGTATTAAGAGAATAGGTCGTTAACTTGGGAGTCGCATAACACTATTTCATTATCTTTTTATTCAAGGAGGTCTTTTTTGCTAGAAAAATTAAAAAGGAAATTAAGAATTACATTAATTATTCTCAAGGTTTTTTTGAATACAAATGAATTTTTATTTTGGGCAACAAATTACTTCTAATTTTGTTGTCTTTCAAAATTAATTGATTTTTCAGCGCCTTCAAAGATTCACGCTTTGATCCCATCACTTTGCATGAAGTTGATCAGTTACACTGTACTGTGAGCATTTTAATTAATTTTGAGAAAGCTCGAGATTATCGTGACTGGGTTGTTG